TTGGGGTCAGCATGACTTAATGCTGGTGGCAGCTAAGTAGTGAGACCTGACATGTGTGGACATACTGAGGCTTACAGCAGTACTCTTCTCAAGCAGGGCAATTTTTCCCTTCCAGGGAACACTTGGAAATTCATAGAGACATTGTCACTGGGGGCAAGATGAGGGAAGGCACAGGATAGCCTCCCCCACACCAACCAAACAACAACAACAACAACAACAACAAAAAACCCCTACGTGGCTCAATGTCAATAGAGCTAAGTGGAGAAACCCTGTTCTGCATCCTCATTTCAGGGGTGTGTGTCTGCAGAGGCTGGAGAGGATTCAGAATCAGAACCAACAACACTGTTATCGACCCAAGACATCAGAATCTCTCCAGACAGAGTGACCATCACTGCACCCTTCTCTCCCTCTATGTTGGGAGAGCTGAACCCAATGGCATATCTCTGTTTAGCAAAGTGCCAGCAACAATGCCCAATGACCTGGGTAGCTTCAATGTTCTGTTCTAGAAGTTCTTTCATCTGCTCCTAGGATTCATAAGGGCTTTGAAAGGCTGAGTGCTAGATGCATAATGACCAGGCTCTCAAGTTTTTTTTTTTTTTTTTAGCTTCACAGCACACAGAAAAAAATAAACACATCTCTTTGGTAAGCTGGGGTAAACTGAGGTAAGAGCTCAACAGCGATCAGTCCTGAGGCTCTGATCATACCCAGGGGTGAAGAGATCAATATTTCCCACATACCTTTCTCTGTTTGGGGGACACAGGATGGGAAACTGCATAAAGTACTGGAGTGTTAGGAAAGCACATATAAAATTAAGAATTTTTGTGGTAGTCACAATTCATAACAGTTTCTTGAATTAACTGCCAGGAAAATCCAATGATTTTCCACCCTGTATTTTTTTTTCTCTTCTTTAGCACTCTTTCCCTTCAGTGAATTTATACTTTAGAACAATGAAGGGGGATTGCACATAATTTCTTAAGAGTCTGTGGCGACAGTATTTGATACTGAAGTTAATAGGTCCTATAATTTTGGGACAAACTGTTGGTTGTCATACAAAAAAATCTATTTGCACAGAAATTAGAAATTTATTGCACTTTGGTTATAAGAGGAGCCTATGTGCAGAAGAAAGCCCAAAATAAGAAAGCCAAATTTGTTTTTTCCACCAAAACCCCAGGAAATGAAATGACTAGCATAATTTAAGGTTATGACATGGGCTGAAAGAAAATGATATTCTTCAAATATCTCTTCTTTCCCTTTTACACCCAACTAGGCTTTCTCTTTCTCTTTGTTTTTAATACCCTCATGGGTATTAAGAAGCCTCCTGTCTGCACACTTTCCTGAGAGTGGGATGCTGGCTGAAGATTTCTCTTGCCGTTCTTCAGCTCTGAAATGCAGGCAGCGACATGTATCCGCGAGGATAGAATCTTGAATGTTTGGGGGCAGAACACCTCCCAGGGGCTTCATGTTGCCCAAGCCCCTCCAGGGTTAGTTCTGGCTGACATGGATCAAGGCGGTCAGGAGGTCTATTCTGGAACACTGGTGGAGCGCCTGGGCCAGCTTTCCCACGGTGGCCCCCTTATTGCCTTCCCTCATCAGCCACTTCTGGAGCATCTGGTAAACTTTTTCTTTCAGTCCATCGCGCTCATAGTCATGGTCGATTTCATCAATCTGAGACTCAGTGAAGCCCAGCTTACGGGCACAGTTTTTCCAGTGCTTTCCCAGGTTTTCTCTGACGGGGTTCAAGTGTTTGGCAGTCAGACTTGAGGTATTATCTACCAAAAGGAAAAGAAAGAAGGTGTCAGGCTGTAACCCACTTGAACAATCTAGCTTCCTGGACTGCTGAAAGGCCCCAGCAAAATGAAGAATACCAGCAGGCAGAAAAAGATGGCTTCTTAATCTAGTTACTAACTCACTGGATGAACTCAATATGCACAATGGCCTTGAGTCTGTGTGTGACCCTTCCTCCTGGCAAATACACCTGGACCACAGCCCATAGTGTTGTGAACAAAACCCCTCCCTGGCTATTAGTGTGGGGATTCCAATCAACCATACTCAGTGGCCCTATGTATGTCAGACCTTCCTGGATGTGATAGGAACAACCACATTTTTGTTCCTTTGGAAGATTTTCCACTTACATCTGGCCATAGTTACACTACCGCCCACTCCTGACCCTGCTTACGCAGTTCACTTTCCTTAGTTAACCAGAGACACTAAGACCATCATTCAGTTACTACGCCCTCCCTATTTCTCAAGGGATGAGGTAGGAGGTATCAATATTCTTCAAGGTTCATTTTTAGACCCCTTCCTACCTTCATTTTCTCCTCTTCCCCAAACTGGCTGTCCCTTTCTTCCTATAGCCATGCCATCTCTCCTTCTACTGATTCTATCCCTTCAGCTCTTCAGAAAAATAATTAATAAAGGAAACAAAATTATAAAACCACATCACAAACAAACTATATTACTCGATCCTTACCCTATCTCAGTATGCTGAATACAAAGAAAAAGACATCTAATTTTTCATACACATCTCCCATTCTTTCCTCAGCCCATGACAATGTAGTTTCTGTTGCTATTACTAGATATTAGCAGTCCAAGAACCTCCCAAAATATCTGCCAAATTTTGTCAGAATCTTTAGGAGAGGAGCCCTGAATTTCATCAGATTCTTAAAGACACCTTCGGTTCCTCAAAAGTTAAGAACATCTATAGGTAGAAGTTCTGGCGCCCTACTTGATTTGTAAATAAAGTTTTATTGGAATCCAGCCATGATCATCCATGTACATATCTTCTGAGGTTGCTTTTATACTACCATGAACTAGTAGTATTTGGGTAGTTCCAAGAGAGACCTCGGGTCCAACATAGACTAATGTATTTACTATCTAGTCATTTATAGAAAAACTTTGACAACCCCAAGATTAATCAGAAAGCTGGATTCTTAATCACATCATTTGACCTCTTTTTTTTTAAGTCAATTTTTTAAATTTGACCTCTTGACCCCTTTTCCCAGGCTGTGTCTTAAGATTAATGTTATGGACCTGCAGAGTGAAACCCTCTGAGAGACAACCCTCTTATTTTCATTACAGAGGTGCTGGTGAGGGTACAGTTTTTCACTTTTACAGAATCCCTTTTGATGGGGACCTAATAGAGCAATTTCTCTCAGGTCTAAACAGTAATACTGATGATGATCAAAGTTTAATGCTTTATAGATCTTCCTATGTACCAGGCAATATTCCAAGCTCTTTACACATATTGACTCCCTTAATTTTCATAATAGAGTTATGAATTAGATACTGTGATTATCCCTGCATGAAAAACAAAGAACTTATATGGAGATCACATATGATTTCTTTATAACTTATCAGGAGGAGATATTGAATAACTTTCAGGAAGAATCATCAGAGAAATTTTAAGATTCCATTATATCCCTCTCAACAAGTAAGAAAAGTCAAGGTTGCTAGACATTGTTTGTTGGGTTTTTTGTTTTGTGGTGCTAGGTATCAAAACCCAGGGCTTTGCATATGCTAGGCAAGTTCTCTATCACTGAGCTACATCCCCAGCCCAGCACTAAGTCTTTAAAGAGCATCTTACCAAAGATATCTCGGAACTTGGAAAGTGGCTCTTCTTTCACATTTGCACATGTGTTTTCTGGTAGTTGTGAATTCACTGCACCAACCTCCATATAATTATAGGTTCCAATCTGTATGCCAGTACTATTGTATATGCAACATTTTGGGGACTCATCTGAAGAGACAGAAACATACAAGTAAATCCATCAAGCAAGAGAAAAAAAATATGACATGGTAAAGGAACAGGGGTTTACTCCAAATGTTTAGTTAACTTATATCATTCCTAACATCTTTTGTCTTTAAAATGTGGCTACTCCACCTCACACCCATTAGGAACTCTAAAACCACCACACAAACAAACAGTGTTGGTATAAATGTGGAGAAAATTGAACTCTTGTACATTGTTGGTAGGAATATAAAATGGTACAGTCATGGTGAAAACCAGTATGGAGTTCCCTCAAAAAAATATAAAATAGAATTACCATATGATGCAGTAATTCCTATAGCCTAAAAGAACTGAATGCAGAAATATTTTTACCCCCATGTTCATAGCAACATTTTTCACAATAGCTAAAAGGTAAAGCAAACCAAGTGCCTATAAACAAAATGTAGTATATATACCCAGTGAATCATATTCAGCCTTAAACAGAAGCAATTTTTTTGAGATGGGCATCTCTTTCTTGCCCAGGCTAGTCTCAAATTCCTGAATGCTGGGATTACAGGCAACATATCACTGCAACTGGCATAATAAGAAAATTCTGATACATGCTGTAACATGCATGAACTTTGAGGACATTTGCTAAATGAAGTAAACCAGTTACAAAAGGACAAATCTATATGACTTAAGAGGAACCCAGAGTAATCAAAGTCATAGAAAGTAGTAGGTGGTTGCCAGGGAAGAGAGGGTGAGGGAATGGAGAGTTAGTGTTTAATAGGACGTTTCAGTTTGGAAGGATGAAGACATTCTGGAGATGGGTGGTGGCAACGGTTGTACAACAGTGTGAATGTTCTCAATGCCTCTGAACTGTACACCTAAAAATAATTAAGATGGTCAATTTTATGTTATAGGTGTTCTACCAGTGTGGGTGCTATCAAGCCAGAAAATGGGGTGGATGAAGGACGACACAAGGATCAACCACATTTCCCAGCAGGATCCCACTACCCAAATATCTGTTAAGGGTCCTCCTCCTATATACAACAAACCCAAACCCCAATTCATGCTAGGTTGAATCTATCAAATGCTAGTACTGTAATTACAGAACATTTAGCAGATCTTTGCAGGAGAGAGGAGGAGGAAAGAAGACAGTTCTAAGAAGAAGGTATATTAAATTTAGCTCTAGGAACCTCAGGCAGCACATCTGGTCCTCAACGAGGCAGCCCAGATGGAGTGGATACCATACTTACTTGGTTAAATTTCTCTGATGAAGGCAAAGGAACTAGGCACCATCTCTAATGACAGATGTAAGAAATATGTGATATCTGTAATTTTGGGTGGTCAGTGAAACTGCTGAAACTTGAATCCTCGTAAAGAATCCTTGACTACAGTCTCTAAAGTGCCTTCCAACTTTAAAGACCCTACCTTTTGCAAGTGACGTTCATTAAGGAGAATAATAGTGACGATAACAGCAGCTACCATTTACTGGCCACTCAGTACATTATCAGCATAGCAGTCAATTGCCTTATCCCATTTAATTCTCAAAGCCTACTATTCTAGTTTATGGTGACACTCTGTTAACTAATAGTGAACCACAGGCTGTTAAACAGATGTTAAGTCAGACAATACCTGACCCAGTGCCAGGATTTTATGCTGCACCTCTCTACTCAGATGCCTGTTTTTGAATCCGTGCTTTCTGCAGGCTTCTAGCCCACATCTGTCCACTGGAAATCCCAGAAAAGTTGCGAAATGGAGAAACTAATGCAATATTAGAAACACAAATTCACTCACGCAAATTAGGTATGACACAGATCCCAGTTCATGAGTAATCATGAACTGGGATCTGTGAGAACTTGTAACATGTAAGTCTTCTAATGTCACATTTTCATTTGTAAATGAGGATAGTGAATATTGGAGAGGCAAAATGATTTGCCCAGTCATGCAGAGATAATGAATGCCACCAAGGGACTAGATCTCAGGACTCCTAACTGAGTCAAGTGAGCTGTCCCTTTCTAACATCACTTAAGGTAGTGCATAAAACAAAAGGAAGGATCCTGGGAGATTTCATCAACATGAAGAACTATTTCCCTTCTGTATTTACAGGTACAGACACACCCTCCTTGTATAGCAGGGTGAATTAGAAAACTCACATTTGGTGCAGAGTCAAGTCTATTTAATGATAGCAAAAGCAAGTAGAAGAATTGGTTAAATTTGCAATGAAAAACTCGCCTTGTTCATTTACAAACTTAGTACTTTACAGGGTCATCCTTAGGGTCAGAAACAGAAAATTCCACTATTGCTTCTAGTGAAGTTTTGCTTTCCCAACAGAGAACATCTCAGAATCATGAAGGGGTAAGAGTGCTGTATATTCATGGTTGGCAGAACCAGTAACAGAGGAAGAGTGAGAATGGAAAAAGGTTTGGGGTACTAAACTAGTGAGCTTTGATTATTCATGTACAATGAATAACACTGACACATTATAATGGTTTACGTGCTGCCTTTTAACCACAAGAATTTGCCATGTGGGAAGTGACTCAGACTTATTTTTTTACTGTTAAATCTCTTCATTCCCTAGAAAACGCCTGGCACAAACCGGGGAGTGCTTTGGAAATTATTATGGGATGAAATCTTAAGTGATCAGATGATATAGAGATGTTTCAGTTTCAGTCACAAAGGGAAACAAAAGGACATTTCACTCACGTAAAGTAGGTATGACACAGATCCCAGTTCATGTCTAATCCAACATTTTACGTTCCATAGATAGTATAATAAAACCCATAGAAAAAAAAAAGACAGAATATTTCCATAGGAGGTTTCTAAGAATTTACCCTTTTGAAAGATAATGCAATCTAGGACTCAAGTGTGCTAGACAAGTACTCTACCACTGAACTACATGCCCAGGGCGGAAAGTTCTGTGGTTTTTAAAGCTTCCACTACCGAAGCTAATTTCAGGATTCCTAGAGCACAGTATAGGTAGCATCAATAGATGAAATTCAAGTAGCAAAGGTGGTAGAAATAAGTATTGTTTGGTAATGATACTGGATATTAAATTAAACCACTTCTCTAGAGAATCTGTAACTATTATCAACTAGCTTTGACTTTACCTGAGATATGGAAATTCAAAGAAAATTTCTCATCACAAAAGGTGTAAGACAAGAAATAAAAATTTCTAAGACTTATTTCTTACCTTCAAAAAATAGCAAGCAAGAATATTCCCACCACATGGAACACTGGAGACTACTAGGTGATTTAAGTTAGAGCAGAAGATGCCTACCAATTACAAGGACCTGTAACCAATATCTGTGGGCAGCTGGGATGAATCCTAGAACAAAACTGAAATATTCCCAGAACAAGGAGTCTGATGGAGACGACCATTCCACAGTGGCAAGTACAACTTCTCTCTGTCCCCATCAATAACTTAGAATCTATGGCACAGGTAATGGCTGCTTTATTTTCAAAAACATTTTAGAAAAAAAGATAAGATTATGATTCTTAAAGGTCAGTTTACCTGTTGATGGAAAGGAGTAGAGTGGAATGGTGGGTGTGTTTGCTGGTAGGTTGGTCTCAGGCACTGGAGTTTTATACAGATTAGGCATGGGGCTGGAATTCAACCCATACCAAAATCCTGTACTTGCTGTCACTGGATCCAGTGGTCTTACCCCAAACCCAGGTACAGTGTATAAGTCAGTGTTCCAATATGGTCCTTGAGGTTGACTGTTCAGCCCTGTCGGTTGGTTTACTGCACTGCTATGACTGGCTGCATTGGGATAAGCAAGACCTTTTCCACGGGTGTTCTGAACATTCTCATAAGGGTTCTGATGTGCGAAGGGGTCATGAGAGACCCTTCGTTTCCTCTCCTCCTCTCTGTTGTAAGCCACATTCTGTCTGGGCTGTTGTTTTGTCTGCTTGTCCATGCGGTTGCCAAAAGCATGATAGCTTGCTTCCTCCTGGAGTTTAAGCTGCAAAATGGGCTCACTCTCTTCTTGTGGGTTCTCCAGGGAGGCAGAAAACCAGGACTCCTCCACAGGGCCAATCTGGAGTCCCTGGGAACTGTGCAGCGAACCAGGCTGTTCTATAGAGGAGAAGAAATGATCAATGTGGGTTTCATGAAACACCAAAAAGTAAAATAAAACCTGAGTACCATCATGAATCTGTCCCTCAGTAACTGAATGAAAACAAGGAAAAGTTAAAAGCATTTAGTAGATGGTCTTTTTTCTATAAGTTTACAGATGATCAGTAGGAGCTTCTCACTAGCAGCCAAGAGAACATGAAGGAAATTAGGAAATTAAAACAAACAACAGAAAAGTGAGTGTTACAGAGATGACTGTCTTCCTTGGAATGAAGGATGACTAAGTCTTTCTAAGAAACTTTGGCTGGAGCAGAGAAGGTGGTGGTCACCTTTGAGCAATTCAGGGTGGAAATAAGAATAGCTACAGCCTTGTCCTACATGCTTCCCATGAATTCTTTCATTTAAAAGCCCTATGGAATCAGGAACAATTATTATGACTTTTATGGATGAGGTTTATAATTAAGTCATTTGTCCCAGAGTAGATGGAAGTGGCTTCTCTTTGGGCATAATGAAAAAGCATCCACCTGTGCTCCCGATCAACCTCTTCTAGGAATCCCACATTTTGGTGAGCATACTGTTCCTTAATGTTTCAAAGATCTGTAACTGGGACTCCCAAATATATTATAAATGCCTTCAAGGCAGGTGTCCAAGTTTATAGCTTTTTCTATGTCCCATGGGATTCTAAGTAATATTTTAGAGAGAAGAAGGAACAAATGAGGAAACAATTAAGTGAATAAATAGATTCCCACCAGAGAGTAAGTTACCTGAATTTGACCTGCTTGGAGGTTCTGCCACACAATCAAGTTGGAGAGACTGCAATCTCTGCAAAACTGCATTTTTCATTGGATATTCTTTCTATAATTAAGAGGATAAATACACATTTCAGTAAACAGCAGAAGTACCAGAAAAATACTATGAGAAGAAGATATTCTTATAAATTCATAGAAATTTCATACAAATCTTAAAGTAGTAAATGTTTAAAAAGAAAAGATTTTTTTTTCCAAATACCCAAAATGATCCTACAAAAGAACAAAGTTGGAGGTCTTCCATTTCCTGATTTCAAATTTTATTACAAAGCTATAATAATCAAAAAACAGTGTGACAATGGCATAAACCCATAGACTAATGGAAGAGACTAGAGAGTCTAGAAATAAACCCTCCCATATATGCACAACTGATTTTTGATAAGTGTTTTTAAAATGGATTAGAGACTAAACTTAAGTGCTAAAACTCTTAGAAAAAAATAGATAATTTCATGACATTGCTGGGCACGGTGGCAAAAGCCTGTAATCCCAGGGACTCAGAAGGCTGAGGCAGGAGGACTGCAAGTCTGAAGCCAACCTTAGCAACTTAGTGATAGCTTGTCTCAAAATAAAAATATATGAGGATGTAGCAGTGGTAGAGTGCCCTGTATTCAATCTCAAGTATGAAAAACAACAAGAACAGGCTGGGATGTAGCTTAGTGGTAAAGTGCTTGCCTCACATGTATGAAGCCTTGGGTTCAATTCCCAGCTCCAAAAAAGAAAAGACAGACAAACAAAAAACAACTCCACCTTCCTAGAAAGCTTCATGACATTGTTCTTGACAGTCATTTCTTTTTATTTATTTATTTGTTGTAGTTGGACACAACACCTTTATTTATTTATTTTATGTGGTGCTGAGGATCAAACCCAGGGCCTCCCATGTGCTAGGTGAGCGCTCTACCACTGAGCTACAACCCCAAACCTTGACAATAATTTCTTGAACATGACACTAAAAGTACAAGCAACAAAAATAAATACAGATAAATCTGACTATGTCAGAATTAAAACCTGTGCATCATTTTATCCAGACAGTGAAAGAACAACCCACAGAATGGGAAAAATATTTGCAAATCATATATATTCCATAAGAGATGAATGGCGAGAATATATAAATAATTTTTACAGCTCAACAACAAACACAATTTGACAAAAGACTTGAAGAAATATTTCCCCAGAGAAGATATACATATGACTAATAAGTATATGAATAATGCTCAACATTAATAATCCTTAGAGAAATGTAAATCAAAACCACAATGAGATACCACTTTATATTTATTAGAATTGCTGAAATGAAACAAAAAGTAACAAATGTGGAACCCTTGTGCATTGCTGGTATGAAATCTAATATGGTGCAGCTACTGTGGAAAATTGAAGGTTCTTACAGAGTTAAACACAAAATTTCCATATTGTCTATCAATGCCATGCTTAGGGATATATGGCAAAGAATGGAAAGTAGGAACTCAGACACCGTACACCAATGTTCACAGCAGCATTATTTATAATAGTTAAAAGCTAGACATAACCCAAACATCCAACAACAGATGTAGAGATAAACAATATGTGTTATGTTTCCATATGATGGAATACTATTCAGCCAAAAAAGGAATAAAATTCTGATACATGCTACAAAATGAATGTACCTTAAAAATGTTCTATACTATGTGAAATAAGCTAGACTCAAATGGAAAATATTGTGTAACTTTATTTCTACATCTACCTAGAATAGGCAAATTCAGAGGCAGAAAATAGAGATTACCAGGGGCTAGGAGACAAAGAAAGGGAAGCTATTATTTAGTAAACAGAGTTTGTGTTTGGGATGATTGATAATTCTAGAAATGGACAGTGATGATGGTTGCAGAACATCGTGAATGTACCTAATACTACTAAATTGTACACTTAAAAAAAGGCTAAAACAGTATATTTTGCTTGTATATTTTACCCTAATAAAAACATTTTTCTTATGAAAGTAATAATACTCATAGAAAATATGAAAAATGTGGGAATAAGGACTTCTTTTCTAGATTGCTTATATTTTTAATCGTGAATAAGTATTATATTTTATCAACTGATTTTTTTCTGCACTTATTGAAAAGTTATTTTTTTTCTCCCTGAAAAAGATAATGTAATGAGTTATGACAGACTTTCCAAAACTAACTTTATATCTTGGAATAAATCCAGTTTTTTTTTTTTTTTTT